TTGAGAAGCGGTAGGTCTAGTAGCAGTAGAGCTTCATGTGAAAGAGTTCGTCCAGGGTAGTACTGCCACTGTATAGGTAAGGACCTATGTCTGCCGCCAAGCAGTAATGTCAGCATTACTGTGTTCCGGTTTTGAAGGGTAAGGATGCTGGTGAAATTACAGGCACATGGACCGTGTCAAATTATGTCTCAGGATGTCGGGGGCAGTGGCAGTGCCCCTCAGATCTTTGCGATTTAAAGCTCTGACGATACTGCAATTGTTATGGACAGGCGTCATCAGGCGCGCACGACCTGTTCGTCCCGTCACTTGATATTATAAAAAAAAGGTCAAACCAAAGTTGAACGTACATTCCCAGCAAATAAAACGAATTAATTCTAAACATTCTGCAAATGTTGTAAAACGACACAAAAGTTGTAAATATTTTCTTTTAGATTACAGTAATTTTGTATTATACTGAATTAATATTTATCCATGCAATTAACAAACCTGCTGTACAGTCACGTAAAATAACACATATAATCCGATTATCTCTGGAAATTTATTGTTAAAATGTTATGTTATATAACAATTGAATTTAGGATTAGCTGTATTACACATTACTGCACGTGACTGTACCTATTATACTCGAAATTCGCGGTCATAAGGTTCTCGAAACGTCTTTTTATTCGATTGTAAGTCGATTTATAGACTACCGACGCTTCTTTTATACGGGCCGCAGTTGTTTCAAGGCCGTCTGGAAATGTCGCGACCCTTTATTTATTGAGGACCTTATTGAATGGTAAAAAGGAGCAACAAATATACGCACTTGGTTTTGATATCTTTGATTATTCATTCTTTTACCCACCGAATGCTTGTTTGTGGGATATTTACTCCATTTGTCATCAGGCTGAACTTATTGTCAGTTAACTGGGGCTTACTTCGGAGGGCATCTCAAGTAGAGTTTTTTTAAACTTTTCTGATAAATAAATATCGACGCTTGAAAGGTAAAATGGTATAAGCGACACTTTTGGTCATATTGAGTTATAGGTGCCGTTGGAATCATCTAATGTTTCTGATTCCAACGGCATATATTACTCAATATGATACAAAAGTGTCGCTTATCCGATTTTGCTTTTCAAGCGTCGATATATATTTTCCGTCTCGATTAAAAGTAATTATTTTTGATAATTATTTTCTATTGCAAGAATTCCTATAAATTTTTCCCCGAACTCAAACTAATGGGACTCTGAATCCGAACTTCTATTATGACAGTAACTTCAAATTAGTCATAGTTTATTCCTAAAAATAATTTGCCGTCTTTTTAAAGATTTGGAAGAGATGCAAGAAACTGAAAAATGAAAAACACTTTATGAAACGCCTCTGATAAGATTTTATGCACTTGTCGACACTTCGGAAGTAGGTTTCATGGGTTTCTCACAGATATCACTACGGCAAAAAGCCGTTAACACCAAAAACGAAGATCTGCAACAAGCACATAGAGAAGCTCGTAAGGTCTGCTACTCGTCCCGTAGATCAATTGGGTTCGAGTTCGAAGCAATTTTTCTTTGTCACAAAAAAAAGGAATGGATATCATGGCAGTAAAACCACGACGATACTCAATAAAATAAATATTGCATCTCGGAAGTAGTTTTTTTTCTTATTCCTTGACACTATGGCGTCCAGCCCTTTGGCCATATGCAATTTCAATTGGATTGCTAATTTTTGGTAATTCTTAATGATGAAAATTTGTAATTCCAGTTAAATTCAAAGTAATTTTATAAATTATTTAAATACTTACTTTGTTTTCCAATAATTTATTATCGTTTCGCAAAGTATGATTCATTCAATTTCTAAATATAAACCCCGAACTTCGCTTTTGACAGAAATTGTTGGGAAATAGCCCAATAATCCATTAAGTATACATTTTCAATATTAATCGAAAGTAGACTATTTACAGTAAAAGCCTTTTGATTGAATGGAAAGGTTTTAAATTATATTTACTCTAAGGACTGACTTACAATATAAACAAACAAACAGGCAAGCAGAAATTCTAAAAATTATTAATTGGGTTCTGTATAGATTGTTCACATTTTTTTTATACAAATGTAATATACAAGCGCAGCCAGACTAATTTAGCAATGTACGTGAAAACGACATAGTTGATGTTACATTGCGTTAAAACACGTTTTGTCTGATTTTTTATATGTAAATAAAAAAAAAACGCGTTTGACCTTTATCTCACCTGATGGAAATCGACGATGAGGTCGACGATGGAGCATGCACACCTAAATAATGCCTGTTTATTCTCGCCTTAAAAAGGTCCAAGTTGTAACGTTCAGGGAACAAGTCTGCGTGCAGGGAATTCCACCCCATAAACGTTCTCCATATGAATGTGGAAGTTTAACGCTAATATTTGGAACATCCACAAAATAGGGATGGAATCCTAGCCTACGTCTAGTCCCCCGATGATGGAAAGGGGAAGGCGGAATTAATTAAATCATGTAATTCCATCGCACACTCTCCGTAACATTCAGACAGAATAAAGACTTCTGTTTAAAAATTAAATAGTTTTTGCAGTGTTTAGCAGTGTTTTAAATGTCGAAAATACACATTTCTCTAAAAGTTTTGTCTAAAATATTTTCAATGCACCTACAAACCTGGTCATTAGCTGGTCATTTTATTATAATGAACATACGTGTTTACATATACAGAGATTGCAGTTAAGTCGGTTTACTATAGATAAATTTATCGCAATTTTTATTGATGAGTTCCTTCTTTACGAGCTTCCATTAACACCTCAGGTTCGGGATGATTTACTACATTGTACATAAGGTATGCACTTAGTGCACAACTATTTTATCTCTCTAGTTTTATCCTGCATACATAGTAAGTATTATCATTATGGGTCATATGCTAAGTTTTTTATTAACACTCACAAAGTATACTTTGTGATCAGAGATGGGGAGTGGGTTAAAACCCAATCAACCCTCCCGGGATTTTACCCAAAGCACAGGATTTGAACCCATTTCTGTCCGAAATCGTGGGCACGAAATTTGGCATAATTCCATTACAAAATATAATTATAATTCCAGATATAAAGCCGAAAACCCGACAAACAAGCACATAGAGAAATTCGTGAGATCCGCTGGCTCGTTCCGTGGCTTAGTTGGCATAGCGTCTGACACGCTTAGCTAGAAGACGTCGGTTTGAATCCGACCGGATCGAAGGAAAATTAGGATGCAAAAGTGGTGAAAGTAAAGAGTATCCTCTAATGTAAGTTGGAAATGAAACAATTTTTTCGGATCTAAATCGCGTGTAACTGTTGGTTTAAACAAACCAACAGTAGTGCAGTCGAGCTCCTTGTGAAAGAGTTCGTCCAGGGAAGTACTGCCACCTTACCTATTTCTGCCTACAAGCAGTAACGTGAGCATTACTGCGTTCCGGTTTAGAAGGGTTAAGGGTGCTGGTGAAATTACAGACACATTTTCTTCAACTTAGAATGGGTTCACTACTGAGGTACCCCCTTTACGACAAAAAAAAGAATTATCGAAAGCGGTTTTCAAATTTCGGAGTAATCACGCAACATGCACACAAAAAAATACAGTCGAACCTCCTCCTTTTTTTAAAGTTGGTTAAAAACACTTGCATTTTGAATAATATTGATGTACATCACTACTATTTAAATTTTAAAACTTATGAATTAAGAAATAAACTTATCAAGAAAAAAATGAATAGCCGCAATTATAAATATGACTTTGTACAGAAACTTGGGAGTTTTTTGTATAGTAACACCCAAAAGATGTTTGTATAACAGAAATTATAAACCACCTTATTCCAGTAAACACTGTTAAGGAAAACTCAACAATATCAAAATGTAACATTTCAAAAGCACGAATTTCCAACCGAACAGTGCACTTGTTCGCTTTAATATCTCGACCCATATTTTGTCCCGTGTATCCATTGTCCGACTGTTTATGTCCCGCTAAATAAGCACGCGTCCCGAAAACCGCAAGTTTTTCTAAGAACAAAGATCTGATGAGCACGAAAAATTTTCAGTTCCGAAGATAAAACCAGCGAGTCTTTCTCTATATAAGCAATGTAACGTCAACACTTTTATCTATGAATATGTTACAAAAGTGTTTCGAATTGTCAAAGATTATAAATAAAAGCTAAAACATGTTCTATAGGGGTTTGGTTAAAGTCTTTAATCATAAAAATACACTGAATATATACGACAAATACATACGGTGTTACGCAACACAAGGATATCTAAAAAATTGTAGTATACTTTAAATTTCAATTCAATGTCGTCGTAGGAGATCAAACTCTAGAAGAAAACAAAAGAAATTCTACTTTTTGTGATGAAGTACTTAATTTTCCATTAACTGAAGAGTAATTACTGCATAAAAGGCTTTATGAGTACAGAGTAGACGTATGCGGAGATAGGGGCGTCTCAAAAGTAGGACAACGGATGTTGGCCGCTACATAGCTTAGTTGCAATCATGCTAAAACTGGACATGGCTCTCATGGACTGAGAAATACAAACTCCTTTTTAATAACTCGTCGTTAATAACTCCTCTTTAATAGTTTTTAAATTAACACTAGATTCCAAAGTTAGAAAAAAGTTTTAAATTTAGAACAGTTTTATAAATGTCAATGGTCTCGCACAATTATTTTTTAAAATGAATTTGAACATGGTGTTCGCATATTAAAAGACTAGAGATGCACAAACGATACTTTTGAAGAGTTGTTTTTAAATAACATAAGTAAGTATTTAGTACAGATAAAATGAAATGATAAAGAGGATTATAATATTTGAACGGATTAAAGTACGTATTATAGGTAAGTTAAATAAATGAAATATCTATCAGGATTATTTTGTTTCATGCTATTCGTCATGCACTTAATATTTATTATAAGGATGTTTTGGTTGGAGTGACTCAGTTAATTGAATCATTCGGTTAATCACGATTCATGCAATATACAGGGGTTGCACATTCTTTATACATCAAATGACGTACCCTGTACCAAGTGGCCACCTGTGTTGTCGCAGTCACCACCGAAAACAATATACATAAATATTATGTTAATTGAATTATGTTAGAAACTAGGTTTATCGTCTACAATTAATTATTATTAAGATAAGGTGAGTAATTAGGGCATCGGTTATAATTTATGTGTGTATTTACAAGCTTACATATAATAATTTTCGATAGATTAGGTGAATAATAATTATTTGATAACGTATTATTTATGCTATTGATAACAACACAAAGAACTTCGCATCTCTAATATAAAAAAGTTCAAATTTTCATCACATCTCACTTTCTTTTATAATTGGCCATAGTTTAAAAAAAATTGAAAAGTGTCGCTCTATGTCTTCGGCATTTCACGAATATACAATTTAAAAAAAGAATAAAGCTACAATACACTATCGTTTGGAATGCCATCGAAATTAAATAATTTCGCGCCAATTCCGTAATCAGATAGTATGTAAATAGCATAGTGCCGTGCTGCGAGTACGTTTAAGAAATTACTTCCACGTAACGGTAAAACTGGTTTGTATTGTCGAGTGTCGACGAGTGTCGGGCCACAGTTTAAAAACCTTATCGTTGTCCACTTCCAAGAAGCATAGCAACTGTAAAAAAAACTCAAAACAGCATAGAAAAAATATCGAAAATTATACATAAGCTAGATGTATTAAAATTTGTGGAAATTTTGAAGCTAATAAGGCCTATGGTGTCGTGAAAAATGTGTATAATAAATTTCAAATTAATGACAATAAACATAGCACTTAAATTATCTAGTTTAAGTTACCCAGTAGTTCACTGAGCACAGTAACTACGAGAATGGAATTCATAAGCATAACAGCTACGCGGGAACATAATCGAATAGAAAGACAGCTGTCTTTCCGTCTTTCTTACAATAAGAGCAAATATAAATTACATTATAAGACCTGATTCTCATAAAAAACGAAATCAATGAATAATACTTTAAGTAACAAAAACTACGGATTTACAAATGTCAGCTATTTATAAATCGACATACGAAATTACATTACGAAACTTTTAAAAAATTATAATTTTTGACCCTTCATATTATATTCTATGGTATTGCGTAGTGCGGTGTGTGATTTTACTGTGATCTAAAGAGATGCGAACCGCGGTCGCCAATTAAAGTGCCTTTTTGCTCGTAAGTGGAAGCGGTACCAACCGCACCACAAAAAATGGTCCATATTTGAGGACATGCTAACTGTAAAGGCGGTAAGAAGAAACTATAACAAAAGGACTGTCGAATTTAAGAATTACGATGTATTTACTGTACAAGTACCATCGCCAACTCATTTTATTGAAGTTTAAAAAAAAAACTACGTTCATAAAAATGGAAGTAAGTTGCTAGTTCGCGAACTCAGTTCATTAAATCGTGCAAAATAATTGTGCATCTTGTGTTTAATGTTTCTGCATGCAATTTATTTCACCCTCTCACAATCAATTCATTAGCAGTAGAGCTCCTTATGATAGAGTTCCTCTAGGGAAGTACTGCCACCTTATCTATTTCTTCTGCCGCCAAACCGTCATGTGAGCATTACTGAGTTCCAATTTTAAAGGGTATGGTGAAATTACAGACACTTGGTACTTGTGAACAAATTTTTTTATATAACCTCAAGCGAGACGGGACGAAGAAGTCGTGCGATTGGTGATAAGCAACACGCCTATCCATAACATATGTCTTATGTCTCAGGGTGACAATTCAATTATTTTTTTCCTTAACATTGTGACGTCTATTAGTTTTGTAAATAACGGTGTAAGCTCCAAAGTGATAAGATATGGCATCGCCCGGTTTTATTTTGTATATGAATTCACTCGTTGTACTACACACGGGCACCGCGGTAAGGTAGTTACCACATTTAACCACAAGGAATCGCTCTAACCCGGTCAAAAATAAACTAACATAAAGCTATGTTTATGCAATAAGAGCGAAAAAGACCTTGTTCGTTTTGAGTCGGCAGTCAAAGCGCGAATCGCGAAACGTTCTTTTGCGCTCTTATTGCATGGATTTATATACTTCTGAACGGCTGCTCAAGCCGATTCAACGATAACAAGTATGGAGATTCCCTTAGTGTTCTGATGACGGGCGCGCAGCAGAACTACGTAGCAACACAACGCCGTGTGGGTTCACACTAATAACTTTCTGTATTATTTATGACGGAAGCGCTTTAATACTCGCAAATTAATTGAAATGACAGGAAATTACAAACGATATATTCCGTTACATTGAGGTTTGGATGTTAATTAATAATATTATTGTTTTTTTAAAGCATTATGTGCGCATTTGCTGTTCATCTCGTCTGATGAAAAGTGAGGACACCTAAATAATGCTTGTTCACTCTCGCCTTGAAAAGGCTCAAGTTATAGCGTTCAGGGAATAAGTCTGCAGGCAGGCGATTCTATTCCATAACCATTTGCCATATAAATGTGAAAGCGCAACGCTTGATAAACGAAGATATGTAATTGTCTTAGCCAGGTTGTATTCTAATCTATCTTTAGAACCTTTTTAAATTAAGAATTTCGCAATTTAAATAAGAGTTCCACAAATTAATTAATTCACACAAAGGCGCATAGGTGTTTCAAGTCCGTTTTTATACCCGTATCGAATTACGAATCGGATGCGTTAGCAAAGCCGTCATCATGTATGCATGCATCACATGTATTACAAAAGACATATTTATTACCCAATGCCACCACTATAAGATGACCGTTAACATTTGATTGTAGCATTTTAGCATTTTAGTAGCAGCTCCGTGTGAAAGAGTTCGTCCAGGGAAGTACTGCCCCCTCACTGATTTCTGACAACCAGTAATGTGAGCGTTACTACGTTTCGGTTTTGAAGGGTACCAGTGCTGGTGAAATTCCAGGCACATAGAACTTGTCTACTTATGTCTCAGGAATTATTAAATCATTCTTTGCATCAGTGATATGGACTGGACAGTCGTGTCGCTTACCATCAGGCGCACGACTTGTTCGTCCCGTCACTTAGAATCATAAAAAAGCCTCATTTTAAAATGGCAATCTCACGAAATCGTAGTTTTTTTTTATATATTTGTTATATAAAGTAGGACGCAAACGAGCAGATGAGCCACTTGGTGGGAGGTAGTCATCGCCGCCCATAGACATCTGCAACATCAGATGGGCCGTCTACGCGTTGCCAGTCTTTAAGAGATCCGTTTACACGCTTTTTAAAGCACAAAGGAAATAAATACTTCAGGATGGAGTCCATTCCACATCTTGCAGGTTCGAGGAAGGAACGAACGTAATGCCCGCGTAGTTTTACAATGCCAGGTATTAATGATTTTTTCTTTTTTTATATTATTTATCATACTTAGTGATGGACCGAACACGTCGTGCGCCTGGTGCTAAGCGACGCGCCTGTCCATAACAGTTGCAGTGCCACTCAGAGCTTTAAATCGCAAAAATCTTAGGGGCACTGCCACTGCGCCCGTCACCCTGAAACATAAGTAGGCAAGTCCCATGTGCCTGTAATTTTACCAGCACCCTTACCCTTCCAACCCGGAACTCAGTAATGCTCACAATACTACTTGGGGGCAGAACTAGGTAAAATGGCAGTACTTCCTTGAACGAACTCTTTCATAAGGAACTCTACTGCTATCTACTGATATTGGTGGGGGCTTTCCTCCTTTGGCGGGACGCGCGATTGTGGAAACGCAACGATGACATCAGTTCGAAAAGTTTCTCTGTAGCAGTAAAACATCGTAGTAGATAGATTACACAATTATAGTTTTGCATTAATGCAGATATTGTTCAGTCTTAAATGCTCATATTACATGTGAGTACATTTCTCCCTTTATAAACGGCACACTATAATTCTTAACTATAAAATCTATTATACAGTTACACACTATCGTTATAAAGTGGACATAGCATAGTGAATGGCGATGTACCTAGCTTATTGCGATTTACGAGTTCGCCGGACTTGTCCCGCCTACGGCTGCCTACGTGTATTGCACTTTTATAAATGTATTGCATGCTTGTAGGCTGTGTTGAATTAATGTTTGGCAAAGTTATTAAAGACTCCAGTTACCAGTAATAATAGGAATTGCAACATTGAATATATGTCAAATCAACTCAACAACGTCTACCACAAGGGCGTATATTATGGCCGTAACTATTTTATCTACCTATACATACATATATATCCGCGTTTAAATGTTGTAGAAACAGTATATACTTGGACTAGGGCTAAATTCAATTCATGAAATTGGGTCCCTATTTTTGCCGTGCTGATAAGTACAGAAGTGTATATGTATTTCAAACATACTTACTGTTAATATACTAAGCACAGCAGATTTGTACGCCTATGCTTATACGTTGGGTAAGGTAGTTGCAAGCTCCTAGGGTCTCGTATCAATTTTTGCTACAGCATTTTATGGAAAGAAAGGTTACTGGGACCTCGTATTTCAAGTCCAAAGGGTACAAATAAGTGGTCAAAGGCGAGGACTAAAACATTAACTGTTTAAAAAAGGCATCAGAAGTAAGAAAGTAGTAGAGCTCCTTGTTAAGGAGTTAATCCAGGAAAATAATGCCATCTTACCTATTTCTGCCGTCAAAAAATGAGAGCATTACTTGCTTGCTTTTGGTTTCATGAGTACCGAAAAACCATTTACAACAATTGCTATGAAAATATAAAACACTGCTTATTTATAACTTAACTTACTACTTACTAGCTCGAGTTGTTACATCATAAAATTAGTGAGCTAATAAATATACAAATTACTTCATCTTTTGAGTTTGCGTTCAGTTTTGAAAGGTAAGGGTGCTGGTAAAATTACAGGCACATGCATTGGGCCCATGGGACTTGTCAACTTAGTCTCAGGGTGACGGGCGCAGTGGCAATGCCCCTTAGAGCTTTGCGATTAAAGCTCCGAGTGCACTGTAACTGTAATGGATAGACGTGACCCTTGTCACATGGTATCATAAAAAAGTTACATAGATTGGATGATAATGAAGGCTAGAGGAAACAG